CTGTCTTCCAGTCAGAACAACAAAAGACAAAGATAAAGAAGAATGTAGTGCTGGTAGAGTTGGAGATGAAGTGGAAGTTGTGGCTGGTGCATTTCAAAATTAAGATCACGTCTCCCATTGTTTGAAAGAGAACTCTTCAGTGTCTGAAACAAGAGAATGTTTGGCATCATTGCTTGAAAAATTATCCAATTATCAAAATTAAGTTCTGATTAATTTGTTTCAGCTCCAAATTACTCATTGGGGTGGGTAGTGTTTAAAATGTTTTTATATTAGTGCCAATACAATGCCCTAGTTTTGATACCAATACCAAAATGATACTCTACAGAGTCACAAAAGTCCTGGAAATTACACTTTTTTTAATCATATGCCCACAAGTTAATATGTAGTGTGCATAAAATCCATATCTTGTTCTTAAAAGTTAATATCTTATCTATACTGTACATACAAAATATTATCTTTCTGGACTCCATAAAAAAAGCTTTTCCTCATTTCACAAAAAATTATAGATTTCAAATATTGAATTTTTTAGGAGCATTCTATGCCTTTTGATTTAAAACAATAACTATCTGATCAAAGAAAATTTGTGAATTATTATATGTATTATATAGAAAGACAAGCAGCAAACCTTTACATCAAAGAAGCTGGAACCAAGCAACAGTGGCTCAAAATATTAACTGACCAATATAGTCAGGGAGGAATCTACAAGCACTCCAGTTTGTATGATGTCAATCTTGCCGGCCGGCGCACATCAGAAGGACATCGCTGGTCTGAACCTGCTCTGTAGCGTTCCCCCGATCACAGTGTGATCAATCACAGAGCTGACGAGACAGTAAATGTTTATGACACCGCGGGGGCCATCGGACATCATAGCTGCAGGTTATAGCTTTTAGAGGGTCCTAAAGTTCCTCGAACCTAGAGTATGATGAATCTAAACTCAAATAAGATGTCACAGTGATGATGCTCGCCGCTCAGCGCCTCAAATCCGAAGATGTTCTTTTTAAATCCAAGCACAGCCACTTAATTTACTGCAGTAATGGGATGTACCGTAGCACAGAACTAGTCTCTTAATCAACTGCTCAGCGGATCATTAGTTGCATGATATAACGGCTGGACAAATACAAAATTTCCCTTGGGATAAACTTACAGTAAATAGCCACAGTGTACTTTATTGTTGCTCAGTAAATGGATGCAAGTACCAGTGGGATTTGTGAGTTGCTACTGCTGTGCTCGGCTGAAACACGACTCTTCCATTAAGGCACCAAGCTGACATTTAGTTTTATTCTTTTATTATAAGTAACATAAGGAAAAATGAGTAGATGATTAGAAATAACAGTCAAAGATGCTCCTTAGCTGCTGTTTTTATTATATTTTCTGACACTTCTCTCACAGGAAAATTTCCAGGGACCCCTGCACTCTTTACTTAACTACTGTAAATCCCTCTGGGTGAGACAATCAGCCGAATGCTTAAAAAAACAGATCCAACCTCAACCGCCACACGGTTACAGTTCGTGTCACCCAATCTGACGAGGGGAATCACATGGTGAAGGTCAAAACAGTCCGCCTGCCACAAACACTTCCTCTCCGGTCCACTTCTCACTTTTCTGCCCCGTCTCCTCGACAGCCTGTCACCACACCTCGACAGTCACTACACATCATTATCAATCCGAACAAAAGAACAGACAAGCGCAAAGAGAAAATACACCAGTAGTGTATGATGGCGAGGAACAGTGCAGCAACTAGGAAACAATGGTAAAGAATGAAAAAAAATGGGAGCACATTATCTTCTTTCTCGCAGAAATAATTACAAACCTGCTTCTACACCACAACAGCTGGGATATAATTACAGGCTGCAAT